TGATTGCTATAAATAACAATTTTGACATTTTTTTCCACAAAAGTCCTTTTTACGTGAATTTTGGCAGCTATTCTATGCTCATATCTAGCCATCTATCTATTTTTATTTTTGCATACATTGTGCGGGCTTCTGTATTTCTATTTCTGCTTCATTCAACCTGTCCAGGCATGACCACTTTCTTCGGCTTAACGATATCCAGAGCCTGACGCTACTGGCGTTGACACTCTACAGCCTTGATGTTGCGCTGACGCCGCCTGCATTACTCCTTCCTCAAGCTTCGGCATATCCAGCAAGTCACACTATCCTCCATGCTCAACACCCGAACACTCTTACTGCCGGCTCTGGGTCCTGGCTCAGTCAACCTTCAACTCAGAGTCAATCTGTTTCCAAAACTTGTCTTGGCGTCTCAAATTCTGGTGGTGGAGTACGCTTTGCCTCCAGCACTAGTGGCGAAAATATCGGTTGTATCACGGATAGCGCAGTATGTGCCCCACCCTCCGCGTTCCTATTCAGACGTCCAGCAACAGCGGAAACGGGAGATGAAAGAAGAAGAAGAAGAAGAAGAAGAGACGAGAGTGAGGGCTGTAGTGGAAGTGAGGCTGATGGCTCTTATGACGTCCGCCAAACTAAGCCGGTCAAAGTGAGCATTCCAGTAAGCCAAGAAGCACTAACTAGAGAAGGGAACCTTAGCGTGTGCCTAGGTTCTGCGCTAAATGCCAGCGAGGGTAGTGGCGAAGACTTGGTAAGTTGATTATTGTTCAGATTATTAAGTTTTCTGTCTATCAACTAAAGTTGACCGGGCAAGTCTATCAAACTCATATCAATTATACCACGAGTTTACGCTCCACTAAGTATGATGATAAAGCCGATTTTGCAGCACACCTTGATAGATTCATTTCACTTCGTATAAAATGTCTTCCATTTTCCCATCTAATTCACTATTTAACGCAGGCTCGATAAGGCCAACTGACTAGTTAGCCAAATCCCCAAATGGTTTATAAGAAGTTGGTATGATTGCAGGCGGGTTTTTCGTCAGGTTTTATTTAAGAATAGTTTCCCGCCATCTGTTACATGACGGATTAAAGTTTAGTTCGGATTTATTGAAAACTATGATGCACAGGGGGATATTAATCTAAAAAGTATTCACATTTCCTGCCAAATTTTCTTCGCTTTTCTGTGAGGCCATAATGCCAATTCTTTTAAAACAACTTTTCATGCGAAATTCACTGTCCAATGACATCAGTCCCATTAAGTCTGTTGATTCTGTCGCAGTTGAGGCTTAAATTCGCCTCCGGGTTATAATAATACAGAGTTGGTTCGATGATGTCCATGTCCATGTCAATGCCTGGGGATCCTCCTCTCCTTAAGCTTCAAACCCATGACTCGATTATCCTCTCCCTCATCCCCACCTACATTGTGTCTCATTCTTTGGGGCCCTGTGTCCGGCTTAAGTCAACTTGACATTCTCATATAATCCTAGGGCACTGGGATAATATTACTGTGTGTGTGTGTGTGTGTGTGTGTGTATGTGTGTGTGTGTGTTGGCTGGCATCCCACGGGGTCAAGCCTGTCACCAGTCGCCTCCCCTTCAGAAGCATACGAAAAATACATACAAAACCTACGCACACACACTGATGACCTATATCCAGCCCACCTATACATTTAGCCTTTAATTTTATATCTTTTGGCAGGTTCCACGCCTGACTCCTCTCACTGAAATCGCCTTTTCTTGACTTCCATTTGTTCCTTATGCGTCTCTTCTTGTTGTTGAATAGTTGTCCTCGGCCCAAGCGCTGAATCTTCCTTTTCCCAATCTCCTGTTCATCAAGTTTCTTTGAAAGAGAATGTCCACAGCCTCCGTGATCTTCAATTTCCTGATGCTTTCCCCATATGAGATTAGCCTTTCCGTGCATTCCAGTCAATTGTGTGGCCGGTTTTCGCGATGTGTTCAGCTATTTCCCATCGTTCCGTATACATTTTTCTGCATAGTCGCTGGTGTTCTTTGATCCTTGTTCAGGTTGTCCTTCCAGTCTCTCCAATGTATTTTTGTTTACAGTCCTTGCAGTTTATGCTGTAAACTAAGGAGCGCTCCATTTTGTTGACTTCACGTTGCTTTAACAAGCTGGCGAAGAGGTTGTACGAATGTTCCATTTCCCTAGTATCGGCCGTAGCTTCCGAGCCAATTCGCATGAGGGTAGACATATCCATCGTTTTTCCTCCGCTCCTCTTGCTAGTTGGGCTAGATAGAGGTCAACAGTATGTGTTCGCATGTGTTGTGTGTATTTTTCTTTTCTGTGCCTGAATGGAAGGGAACTGGCAACAGGCTTGACCACGGAGGATGCCAGCCAATACACACACCAGCAGGAACTTCATCCCAATACCCTAGGATTAGATGGGAATGTCAATTCAACTTAAGCCGGATACAGGGCCCCAAAGAGTGAGCGACAATGCGGGTGGGGATGAGGGAGAGGATAATCGATTCATGTGTTTTAAGCCTAGGGATAGGATTCCCAGGCACTGGCATGAACATGGGCATCATCTGCTCTAAATCCTAGAGTTTGGCATAATCGAGGACGGGAATTGAAGGCTCTTAGGCAGCCGGATTTCAGACATCCAAACAGTGATTTTGATGCTTAGCAGCGGCTAATTGATAAGCGGGTAGGGAATAAAGGGGGGGCAAAATGTAGGCCCTGCAAA